GAGAGAATATTAAAAACTGATAGCACAGAAAAAATTAAAACAGCTATCGTATATTGAATATATTGGATGTCGATATTATCATCTTCGTGAATGGTATTTAAGCAAAACATTATTTTTTATAAAATATTATGGGGGTTCGATTTATAATCTGCTTACAATATCTATTATAATGTGCTGATATGGTTCAATATTATTCGAACGCGCTCTTTACATCAACGCAAACTACAAAAGAAGCTTTTATCGTGGCATTTTAACTATGTTGAGCCGCGCGAATGTGTAAATGTGTGAAGGTGTGAAAGAAAAAAAGGAAAATATGGGTGAATTCGAACGTGCGCAATGGCGTGTTACAGAAGTACTTTCTCTAAGGTAGCAACATTGTTTCAAGTCGAGGCTGTATGTCGAGGGACCCCAGGAGCCCGCCAACCCCAAGAATTTTATAAAATTAACTCGGTCACGCACGGTGGAGCAGGAATTATGACACGTGCCTAGCGAGCAACCAACGAGAACCGGTTGGGCGCACCGCGAAATCATTTGGTTGCGAGATAAGGAAGTCGAGTATTTAAATCGCATTTATCTCGATAACGCAGTCGTTAACCCTACCGATCGCATTCTTAGGCGTTAATCAAGTATTACATTTCATTATTTGGAATTCTTCAAATTTGGAAAATTTTTTAACGGAAAAAAATTTATTGCTCAAAATAATTCCAGTACGAACTAAAAAATAGCATACTAGGTAGAACTGATTAATATTTTACTACCGAAATTCTAACAATTTTAATATTTCAGTTAAGTATTTATAGAAAAAAAGTAGATTCAAGAGTTTTTTTTATGAATTGAATATAAAGATAATTATATTAAACAAAAATTTATTATTATAGAATACAATATTTTACCCTTGTAAAATCAATTATAAAAATAGAATCGTTAAATATCAAATACATCGCCAGTATTTCTAAAAAATATCGCTTATTACAATTTTTTAAATTTAGTTATTTTTGTCTAGAATCTGATTATTATTTCTAATGTAATAATCAAGAGACTTATAATATTCAATAACAGTCAATAATTTAACATTTCTTACTTTCTTTTTAAACTGTAAGATATTTTATAAATGAAGGAGAAAGCAAGAGAGTTTAAATTTCGAACTAAGGAATTTTTCTTTCTATGTTAAATTTTAATATTAAAAGTAAATTCATATAAAATAATGTTCAAGTTTTTCAATAACCTCTGATGGAATAATCTATCAGACAATTAATTATTAATTAAAATATAATAATTAAATATAATAAGTATAAAAATAAGTAACTTCAAAGTAATTACTTGTATATTTAATTCAGTAAATATGAATCGATGTACAATAATATGTACATAAAAAATGACGGAGTTCATTTTCACACCTTTGCAATTGCAATTTACGTTAACGCGTGATCTATTTCGTTTGAAAAATTTACAAAAGTTACCTTAAATATTATAAGGAAGAAAAATTAATATTAAATGGTGTAAAAGGGTAACCGTTATTATATGGTATTAGTGATGAAAGAATGAAGAAAATCCCAATTTTGCCAAGTGTGTTTGCTCAAAACAACTATCGATCGACACAATAAAATGACGTTTGGCTAAAGTCCTTTGGTCCTTTTCGAAATGTATTTCATCGACGAAGAGGATTCACTGATTTAGGGCTCACTTACCTGTCACTGACGAAAATACTAGGACAGTTCGATAAGACGGGCAAAATACTGCGAAAGATCAACAACACACGCGTGCTTTATCTTGGCCAGCCGGCATGTCACTCTCTTATATAGCGTATTCCGCTGAAAGTTGCCTCCACCAGATGAAATGGATTCGGTCCTTTTCAAGGTAGTGGGAGACTCCTCACGTCTGCATCATCGCGCTCCTTCTGCAGGATGCACCTGTTCGGAAGTCCTTTAAAGTCCGTCGAAAGATTTTATTATAATAAACTTGTAATCGCGCCTGTTTCGACGCTTGGCGATTAATGGCATTTCATTACATCAGAGATCAGCGGATTTGACTAACGACAAGGAATTGTTGGAGAAAAATCGAACTAACATGTAAAATCGAGTAACTGCATTTTATTATTGGACTCAATAAGGGAATAAGTATCAGGAACGATAATTAATCAGGAATGAATAAGAAAACATGATTAATTATCTATTCGCCTTAAGCTTGATTGAATGCATTAATTTCAAGCCCCAATAAATATTATTTTATAAGATATAATATTTAAAAAATTAAACAATAAAAGTCTTTGTAATACTAAAATAAAATGTAAGAAAAGTTTACTTACAGATAGAGCCGCGCGAGACATTCTCTTATAAATCTCCTAATTTTGAAGACTTGTTTTTCACCAGGAAAGTTGGGAGTATTGAATTCCTCCACGTGATATTAAAGTCTTAACAACCGTTACCGTACGCCGCTGAAATGATTAGGAGGATGAAAGTATTTCTTAATCATTATTAGAGTTTTGAGAAGAATCGGATTATAAAGGCTTACCTAAGCGAATCTCAAATTCTCCTGCATCATCGAAAGTAAAGACTTTTGCAATCATTCCTTATCCCATACGTTTAAAATTCAAAGGAAAAGAAAGGAAAACCAAGTGCACCCACGTGTGAAACTCGTGATATTGAGAATTTTGCAGCGCAATTCCGAGGAAAGCATAATTGTAGATCGTAATTGTTGAGGAAGTAAGATGTACTCTCCGCGCGATATATTTCACGGTGTACAGAATCAAGATCGCATCTTGATTAAACGCAAGACGCGAAAGAATGGGAGTGCATAATTTAGCGTGAAACTCCATTAATCTGATCTGTCGATCATTTCGGAAGATTAGCTGGCGGATCCGTTGGCAGAAAGCGAATCACGCCCTTTCCTGTGTCGTTTCTTTTCCCTCCACTTTCCACTATTCTTCCATCCAACTACGGATAAACAGAATAAAAAAGCTTGCTACTCTTGTTAGACGCTTCATCAGAATAACGCCGGTGTGCAATTAATACACGTAGCAGAATCAAGGTTACATTTTCTCAAAGCTTCGAATGCCCGAAAGGATAAAAACGGACGTTCTCCTTGGAAGTAGCATGCACAATAAAATTAAGCAGTAAAAATAAAATTTTTATAAAAGACATACGTTAAAACTCGAAAGTCAAAATACGTCATTGTACAAATAGAAATAAACAAGTATATAAGGTATGAGTAATTTCGAAAGTGTTAACTTTTACTTTAGTTCGCAAAGTTATGTGTTTACAGTTCTTCATTATATTTATAGTAATTCGTAGTTATATAATTCTTTTATACATAAATTATACGTGAATATGAACTTCATTACTTCCATTATCTTTTTTCAAGATTTTCTTCTTTCTGAAAAGGACGATAAAATTGTAAAAATGATGCAACTGTGAGACAGGATTCATATAATCTCTCTTTTCTTCTTATATATGCGAAATAACCGTCAATGAAAGTTACTTTTTTTATTTCAAGTTTCTTGCTCTTAGAATGAGTGGAAAATGGAAATTTCCAAAAATAACGTTTCTAATTGATAAATTTTGAATGAGAAATTTGATTCACTTTTTCGTTTTTTTTTGCATTAATACATATAATTACATATTTATTATTTAGTTATATAAATACATTATATATATATTTGTAATTCTTCTGTCTTTTGTCGCAATATTTCGCTTGCAAATGCGACTAATTGCTTGACTAAATGACGCCGCGTGACTCAATCTATTTCACGGGTGAGAAATACCTCCGGAAGTGCATACAATGTAAGGATAAAATTAGTATTAAATAGGGTTCACTAAACTCTCTCTCTCTCTCTCTCTCTCTCTCTCTCTCTCTCTCTCTCTCTCTCTCTCTCTCTCTCTCTCTCTTGCTCGCAAAGTAACTGCCGCATTTGAAGTAAATTCCAGTGAGATCATAAATCAAGTCGACCATTAACAATTAATGAGAAATGGGGACAATCTGATAGCATAATACCCGTAATGTATTTAGCTATACATATACATAGATGTATTAACTATATGCTTAGCACTTAAATGCACCTTTGCTTCTCTTCTGCAAGAGAAATAATGAAAAAAACAAGAATACGCAAGTTCTCAAATTGAAATAGTACAATTTATTGCAAAAGCGCTAGATATATTGACACGATGTTGCCCGATATAAACAAATGATAGTTATAATTTAAATGTGAATGCACTGCACATCGTAATAATACTAGTATCAGGTTGTTCATAGTGTGATAGCATGATGGAATTTTTAAATTCTTTTTCAACCAAATATTGGCAACTGAATGAAGCTCTTTATACATATATGTATGTTCGTGCCATTAATCGTTCATATAACCGAGGAAACCTAAGTAAAGTTCGAAAGTATTACTGCAACTGTAGGCTGCGAATATTGCACCGTGCAGACATTTATTATTGCCGGTTTGTACCGACCTGAATACCCTTAATTGGATTTTTTAGGGACAAACTATTTTTTTATTTCATTATTAGAAACGTATTCAATAAGAGAAGAGAGATATGATTGTCAGTGCCAAGTAATTAGCAATCAACATTACACTCTATTTATAATTTGGAATATACGTGTTGCTAAAATTGAAAGCTTTTAAAAACTCGAAAAAAACTCATACGATGATTTATCTTATTTTTTAGACGCCGCTTTCATTCACTTCTTAATTCTGGAAACTGATTATTTAAATTAAGATTTCGCGAAATTAATTTTTACTTAAATTATTTGAGAAATAAGAGATTTCGGTATATATTTTTCCTTTTCTAAAAAAAACATTTTATCTTAGTCTTGCATAATTTATTAAAGATTATCGATATTTTTATATATCGATGTCGTAATATTTTTTCCCTATTGATTGAAACACCAAACGTAAAATCTTCTTAATCCTAGAATCGTGCCAAAGATATTTTATTTTTCCACAAAAATAAAATAACCAGATTTTCGCGTTTATTATGTAAAACTATTGATCTTTTTTCTTGTTTATTGCCACGTGAAACTTGTCACTTAAAATCGACACACCTTCGTTCAAGCGTTACGTCCCGATTAAAATTTCATACATTCGTTGGGCGACGTAACTTTCTCACCGCCCCGCCCGACAGGTTTTACTTCCGCCTTTATAAAATACTGTAACATAATATTTCTTTGTTCCGTTTGTACCGATTCAATACTTGAGTCTGCTGTAAATTCATTAAAAGTTTTATTATGGTTGTTTGCAGTCGGGCGGCAGTTATATAAAGATATACACAAGTATTTCGTTTTTCTTTTTAAACTTTTAATACTGCAGTTTTTTTCATGAGAACTATCTAACAATTTTATATTTCTTCAATGAATCTTAATTTGTACAATAAAGAAAAACCTTAAATAAAGCTTTGAAAAAGTTCAGAATATTATAGTTTTGCGTATTTAAAATTGTAGGTATATAAAAAAATGCAGTTTCCAAAAATATTCCAATACTTTGGAAACAGAGATACACTCTAAGCAAAGATTTGGGTTTACAGAAATTCTCTCTCTCTCTCTCTCTCTCTCTCCCCCCCCCCCTCTCTATCTGTCTAGTAAAGTGTATATAAGTAGTGATAATAATCTGATTTAAAGTATCTGACAAGTATCTGATTAAAACTTGAGTGTGTACTGTATCGATACACTTATTATATAATACAGTGTAAGTAAATGGGGATTAATTAATTATCCAGATAATTCGTTATTACGCACAGGTGCTACGAATTTAAATATATCGGCAATTCGTCACTGTCGGTGAAAAGAACGACCTTCGCCTGACGAAAGAAAGTCCGATCCGCTTCCATAAAATTTCAATAAATCGGCCGCCAAACAGTGCGTTGAATTCAACGGGAAAACGAGATCGAAAGTCTCGTGGTTCTCCACCCACGGAGAAACTCACCACTGACACGCTTTGTTTAATTTACTCCGATGGTATCGACAATAGACGTCAATTATCCTGGAAGGAAAGTAATAACACTTTGTTTTTCCCTTTCTTTTGACGACCGCACACGTCGGGACTATAGGTACAAGTATAAGCTGCATTAACGATTCATCACAATTTAAGCTACTTTTCATTCATTCATTCATTATAAACTTTGCCTTTCTTTAAATCTTTAATATCTTTAAAGTACATACTTTTGTTCTACTTTATCAAAGTTGATAGACCGTCTGTAATATGAAACATTATATAAAACATGTTAAAGTAATAATTGAATTTTGCTTAATCGAAAATATACGTTATGCAATATAATATAATATACATATTAGATAAATTCCACAAAGTTGATAAAATATTTTTCTATTTGTATAATGCGCTTGGATATTTTAAACCTTTGCGAGGAGATATATTTTTCATATAAATTAAAAATTAAGACAATTCGGTAAAATGATTTATGAGAGAGACGAGAGAGAGAGAGAGAGGGAATAGTGATCAATAAAATCCTCAAAATATTCGACATTATCATTCCATTCGAAGAACGATTCCACTAGAGAAGTGGACGTTGCAGACGCGTAAAAGAAATACTTTCACCGAGCATTTGGGCCTGATGGAGAAAGTTTCTTCAATCTCCGTTACGTCTTTGTTAATCAGAAATTCGACTGGAAACCTAATGGGAATTAAAATTTTGAATCTGATTTTCAAGGGCAAACTAATCGGACACTTTCTTACGTCTCTCTCGAGACGCTCCAACTTTTATCTCAGAAGGTTTAATAATGTGTATTGCTAAATTCAAATAAAAAGATTAATACGAAAACGAAGATGCTAAAGCTATTATGAAAATTGTCACTCGTAGCAAATTCAATAAAATCGTCTCATTATTATTTGCATGATCGAATTTTTAATTCAGACTGATCACACTTCTCTTTATCACTGATGTGTGTCTTTCGGAGATTTAGAGGGTTAATTGGTAAGCTGACTAAAGAAATTTCAGTAGCACAAAGTTGAAATAATATATCGTAAAAGATACTGAGAGATGATCAAGATGTCCTGTAAAAGAGATGGCTGTTACATTGGAGCGTAATCAAAAGAATGACAATTAAGCGAAAGAGGAATGGACACTTGTACAGTTACAAAGAAAACGATTTAGAATCTTATCGAAGTTATGCTTTCGATAAAATTGTTGTCTCATTTTTATTAAGTAAGTGAAATTTACTTAATAAAAAATTTATGTCAATAAATTTTCTTTTTAGGAAGTAAGAAGTATATCTCTGTAGAGGAATCTTTGGAAAAGGATAACAGGAAAAGTTCAAAATATCAAAAAGATTTGGATTAAAAAATGTTATCACTGTTTTTAAATTCATCGTAAATGAGATCTATTCGTGCATCTTGGAGCGAATGTCACAAGGACGAAGGGATCGGCGGTAATTAAAACTTCCTCTTGCCTACATCGAGAAGAGAACGGAAGAGGACATCGTCTGGATCAGGAACGAAGAAAGGAGCATTAAAATGTAGAATCGGAAACATAGAGTCGGTTAAATTTACTATTAAATCAATTCAGAAATGACGTGTTAATTTATGTCAAGGCCAAGGTAAAGCGAGAAGACACACCGGTAGTCTGGTGTTGAGTAGTTAAATAACTTCATTACTGTTTGTCGAATAACGATCTTGAAGAGAGAGGGCAAGATACATTTCACACTCCGATATTCACTATGTATCTTACAATATAAACCAGAATGAAATTGATTTTAAGATCTTGATTGACTACCAAACTGTCAATTTTCTTAATCTTCCTTCCGATAGGAATGTGTTATATTTATTGCCCGGTGTTACATTATTCGTGACAAAGAGATTACGAGAAAAAATACAGAGGTAAAAAAATTACCGCTATAGAAACATAAATATAGAACAATATGCATCATTATTATTAATCCACGTGAGATTTTAAATAAACGAAGAAAAAGAATTTTAAGCTTACATGATAATGATCACGTAACAATCAGTCAGTTTATGGCAACTATTTATGCAACAGAATTCGATCTCGAATCGAGAACAAGCTGGAAAATGCGGAAACCTAGCGTAGCACGCGAGTGCAAATTTTTCATTTCTCGATATAAACCGATTTACATATATAAAATGTAATTGCGTAAACGACGCATATCATTAAAATGAAATAGTGTTCAAGCTCGAGTGTCGGAGAACATATATAAGAGGTGTGGCCTCGCTATTCAATAGTCTTGAAAATGTCACATACATTTGATTAATATTTTCTACGATTATCGTCGAAAAATGAAATAAATTGTGTGTTACCTCATACGCACTTCTGTGTATGGCAGAAAAATAAAAGGTACACATTTCAAATCCAATATTTATATACAATTCATACCATTTATCGTGTCTTTCATAATTAAATAATTAATAACTGCAAACTCTAAAAAAATATTAGTGAAATTTAATTTTATGCAATTTTTATAGTTATTTTATTAAACACCATTGACGACGGAAAAAGACTACAACTCAATTTTTTCGTACAGCTCGCGTACGAAATACTATACTTCATTTGATATACATATAAAGTTACTATATAAATTTTATATTTTTTTCCACACACACGCGCGCGCACGCGCGTGCGCATCTCTGTTTCTCTCCATCATTTATATCTTTATTTCTATTTCTTTATCTGATTTAGTGATTAAGTGATATAAAAGAAATTGCCATTCTTGCGACAAATCAATGATAAATATAAATTGAAAGATTTTCCACTTATAATTAGCCTTCAATCATTATCATAGAATAATATCAATGTGAAATCGAGTACTTTCGCCGGCGAAGGTTTTGCTATGTTTCGTGCGACCGCGGGTGCTTGAACATAGTAGAAATAAATGGAGCAAATACCTACATCACCCTATAAACTAATGTCAACGAATGGTGGGACAGCGATGGAACAGTATAGAAAAAAATAGATATTTTGACCACTTTTTTTAAATTAATCGATGCAGATTACATTAATAAGAAATTAATGACCTACTTTAAACTTAATTTATATCCTTTTTATTAATGTATGTTTTTGTTTTAAATGCTTAATGATTGCTGAAAAAATGATCCAACGCAACAATGTACTTCACAGATATTGCATTGAAAATTTTTACAGTGCAATAATTGTAGCGTAAATATATCTAGTTTGTTTCCTTTTTTTAAATTACTCATAATCAATAGGTAACTGTAAGTGCACTCGACAAAAACTAGGGGCAAATTGATTTTTCAATGATAGCGATTTTTAATGCAACATGATAAGCGATGAACACACGCATCGAAGATCTGTAGATATTTGCAAGATTGCAGGTATTCTTTTTATTCAAGTAGTCAGGCATCTTAGTCAGTTATTATTCATTCGTATTTCAACACTATTGGAAATCTTAATAAGTCAAACAATTAGTATTTACAACTGTACATATAGAGCATATACACTTCTTATATTTGTTTCAATACATACATTTACGTTTTCTTGACTTTCAGGAAACCAGCTGTATTGGAAAAGTATTTCGCATTTGCCTCGTTTACCTTTTTCTCCGCAGCTTGTGGATTGACGATTTCAAGACCCTGCAAACGCAGGCAATCATTAAAAGGGGAAACAAAGGCAAAAATCGTTTTTCAATGCGTACAATTAACTCTACCAGTTGTAAAGTTGTAAAGAGTATGAGCTTACTTGTAGAGGGGTGAAAGCCACGCTGGAAGCAGTACCGGAGACTTGCTTCTTGACAGTGGTGCTGCCTCCCCATTGCTGCTGCTTCTGCAGATTCTTCTGGAGTGTCTTGGATATCCTGACTTTCGTCTTTTCGTCAATCTGCGGCAACCTAATTCGACCGGTGCCAGCTTTACCGATTGTCCCTCGCGAGTAGCCAAGATCCTCTTGGTAGGCGTCACTCTCAATCTGTAATCGCAATAATGATTATCTATTTATCTACAAAACATTAGAAATCGCGCATTAGAACAGAACACTCTGTTTAACTCACGTCCGCGAAATTCATCCTGTTGGCGTGCTTCCTGAACTCCGTGATCGCGTAGCGTTCCTTCATCTTGCGGACGCGTTTACCGCCGCGCTTCTTTCGACCGGGATCGATCGGCTTCGGCAGCGGCTTCACGAATTTCACGGGCGGCGGCTCTTGCAGCTTATCCAGCTTCTTCTCGATCTCCTCGCGCAGCATTTGGCCGATGTGACCGTCCGTGCTTTCGTGGCAGGCGTCCACCCTAGCCGCCAGCATGCTCTTCGCTGCCACCAACCTTGCCGCTTTCCTCCGTAGATCCTGCAATTACGTATGTTAGCGCCGCTGTTACGTTTCACTGCTTCTTGCCCGTTCGATTATGTGTAGCATGCAAAAAGGACGAACTTACAGGAGGAGTTTCTTGTACGATCTCGGAGTAATATATAAATCCCGTGTGAGGCAAGGTGGTAACTTGCGAAAATCCGGAGAGCGTGGTTTTCTGAGATCCAAGGACTAGAAGATTACAAGCTGGCATCTTAGAGAGTTTCGTCAGGCCGCCCGCGACACCTGAGTTGAAGAAATCCGTGACAATGTAAAAATAAACTTATTTTTTTGTAACGTATACGTCTACGATTTTATACAATACACACCCATAATCTTGGCAGCTGTTGACGCGCCGACGATTATCGATAGATTCGGCGCGATAAATGCCATTCTGCTCTCTACATATTCGAATATCTTGGATTTACAATTGTTCAATTCCACTGCCATATCGCAAGCTTCACAGATAGCTTCTTTCTCCTCTTCTGTCAGTAGCTGGCTATATGGGAGGATATATTTGAGAAAATTGAACACAGTTAACTGTATGTTAATCATGAAAAGCAATGCGGTCGAGTTTCTTTATTCTCAACTAGTTATATTATGTTAGCCTATTTTTGCAGAATGCTATAAAAGAACACTGTCAAACTTGGTCAAGATCTTTCCACGGGTTTAAGTATTAAAATTTATTGATTATCATGGTTTGAGATTTGACTTTTCAATGATTTCAGGAGGCAAAAGTTGGCCAGCCAGATTAAAAGGCCTATATTTTTCGCAGAATCCTACCGAATAATTTTTTATTCTGCACATGCGTCATACGAGATAAAATCAATAGGCGTTAAAAATCAGATAGTTTGCTTTCCAGTGACTTGCAATTAACGAGATTAGATGTTACGCGTGAAAATATTACCCCTGGGTGGTCGAGGCTGTCACAGAAACAACCATAATTGTAGCCTGAGTGAGAAACTGCTGTAGAATCTCGTTATTTTTGGCTCTGTCCAAGTCATTGCCCAATTCCCTGACAGTCATCACATATTCCAATAGTCCTACCACTAAAGACTCCAGTTCTGGAAACCTTTTCGAATATTTATCTCTTGTAAATCTGTGAATAGTAGCTGAAAGTTATAAAAATGTTAATATCCCTTTATCAGGACTGTTCAACAAGTAACATGTATTCAATTTGTTTATAAATGTGCTCTGACATGTTTGTCAAAATAAATTTGAAATGCTGACTTGGAAGTGGCAGACAAGAAAGCGACGAAAGTTTTGCCCCTTAAAATCTTTTAAACGACTTTATATCAACGTAATATATAATTACTATATACTCAATATAATGATTGTAGCACTTTATGCTATTACTCGAGGGATAAACCGCTGAGGGCATTGCGGTGTACAGATTTGCGGCATTACTGGGCATTACTAGGCATTTTTGGGCATTACAAAGATGAAATAAGATAAACGCGTACCGATAGTTTTGCGTACTGCCGACAACCCGAATCGGCGCGCAGTTTAAAGTAAGAAAATAAACGCGAAAATAACATCATTAGACTTTTTATTGCGACAAATATCACCACATGCCTAGTGGTCGAATGGAGACGCCCGCCTAGAGTGTAGGAAGGTCCAGGTTCAAAATCCTGGCTGAGGTAATAGTTTTTGCAGTAAATTTCTTTAATTAGAATTTACCAGTTGTGTCGAATATTGATTTCCTACATTGGTTAATTATTTACCGGCGACAAGTCTTTATCTCGAATTTTTCGGTAGGTTTGACACCCCCTCAATAAGTTTCCCTTCCTTTTGTCCTGTTTTAGTTATTCAGTCCTCTTTATGGCTGGGACCATATGGAGACTAACTGATATTAACACAGATAGAAGGATGACTCTGAAGTCGCATGGTGCACTGATTCCCAGAGACATTGCCGTATGCTTTATTCGGTCTAAACGAGGTAACTGAGTATAATTGTTAAACCAATCTGTATTAGAATTTGTACTGTATTCTTACCCCCGTACTTTCGATGATCTCATTGTAGTTTTTACTGAAGAAGACCCGAAGAAGGGTCGAAACGTTTGTTATTAAAGAGAAATTTTGATTCTAAACACATTGGCACAGAAGGTATTTTGTTAAAATAAGACAAAACAAGATAAAATAAGATAAAGTAATGGCTACTGGACATTAGTAGGCATTGGTGTATGTACATGATTTTGATCAGCAGTTTACCCCTCGCTATTATTCGATAGGCTTGTTCTCTGTCGCTACACTGACGAACTAGTGCAATAAATTAGAGTAAAACAAGCATAGTTTCTCTTATTCTAGCTTCCTGCACTAGTTGACCAGTACAATAGAAAAGCCTTATGTTACCATGTATAGTTACCTATTTCATTGTCAATTTTTACCGCCATATTATTAGCTTCGACTATCAACTGATACTCCGGATCAGATTCCACGGGTCCTACAATGTCAGTTGACTTCCTGGGCACTTTGCTGTGCCTCTCGATGTGCGACATAACTCGCTGCAGCTGTTCCGAATCTCGCAGCTTAGCCAGCTCTCGAACGGAGGACACTTTTATCTCTGCGGATAAAAGAGAAGACAGATTAATTTTACGCTCGTGACAATCGTGAGATATAAAGCATCGCCGCAAAGACATTGTGTAAATTATGATGTAGTGTAAAACGGAGCATTGTATGTACGAAAAAAGCAAACTGTCGTGTGCTGTAAGATAAAGCTAACCTTCCTCGATGACTTTCGAAACCGAAGCCGGGATGAACTGCGGCTCCGGCTCTTCCATAAACGCGTCCGCGTCGTCATTCTCCTCGAGATCGGCAAGAAGTTCGTCGGCCAAAGACATCTTTCCTCGTTATTATTTGTTTATCGCACGACTGAGCCACCGACAAACGCCGGAGTCGCCGGAACACCGAGTAATGGGGGGAAGGGGGGGATTCACACCGCGTCCAATCAAATGTTCGAATCCGATGCATGACGTCAGACCATAGTTTATCCAATAGGAATGAGTCTAGGTCTGTTCTTTTTAGCTGTCAAGTCACAAGCAGCCAGTCACAAGTCACAAATAAGTATTTCAAATTTTTATTCAGCCTATTCGAAATCACGAATCGTCTCCTCAGGCGTAAACTCGTGAGAGGTGAAAAATTTCATTGATAAATGTTGAACTCGTCAATCAAGTTTTCTCCACTTTTCACGAGTTCACGCTCTAGAGAAAAAAAGATTCATGAGGTTTGTTTTCTGTTCCTGCACTGGTGAACTAGCGCAATAAATTGGAGTAAGACAAGTATATTTTTTCTCATTCTAGCTTACTGCACTAGTTCACCAGTACAGCAACAGAAAACAATTAGCCTATGGCCGGTATTCATAGTCAGATCTTATAGTATATTCAAGACCGTCTTAAGTTCATCTTTAGATACTCCGTAGCCAATGAAATGTTCCATACAGCATCTTTAGATAAATTCAAGACGGTGTTGAATAGAAGATCCGATTATGGCCCGGTTTCACCAACGCGAGTTAAGCCCGTATCAGACTACGGATTGAGATTGGGATTAGATTGAAATTTAACCAATCACAGTAAAGTTTACTAATCTTAAGTTCAGTAACTTTTACTCTGATTGGTCAAATTTCAATCTAATCCCAATCTCAATCCGTAGTCTGATACGGGCTCTAATCTAATCGGTCGGTTAACTTAACAGGGTGCCAACATAAAACTTCTTTATTAACCTATTTTCTTGGTTAATAAAGAAGTTTTATGTTGGCACCCTGTTAAGTTAGCCGACCGATTAGATTAAAGCCTATCACACAATAGGAAAGCACAGGCAATAGGAACAGGGAATAGAATTTCTGACGCGTTGGATTGGTTGGAAGAAAATTTCCGACGAATCCAACGCGTCAAAAATTCTATTCTCTATTCCTATTGCCTGTTGCTTGGCATTGTGTGATAGGCTTTACTCGCGTTGGTGAAACCGGGCCTATGAATGCCGGTCTATGATCGAGTCCCTGAACTAGTGCAGTCAGCTAAAAAGAACAGACCCTATACTGCGTTCACGGAGAGAACGACCACGCATTTCGTCCGGTTCGGTCAGACCACGCCTCTATTTTCCCCCCTCCACACCGAACAGGCCCTGAGTAGCGCGCTCGATTTCCCCTACCCAGTGATGCAAAATCCGCTACTTTTACAGCACGATGTGGTCGGAGAGGGGATAACGCACACGGACACGGCTGCTTGCTTGTGTGCGTTATCCCCTCTCCGACCACATCGTGCTGTAAAAGTAGCGGAATTTGCATCACTGCCCCTACCTCATCCCCACTCTGTCCAAAGCTGCGCGAAGCGTGGTCGTTCTCTCTGTGAACGCAGTATAGAAGACGCACACGGGCACACGTATTTACGGCGCGTTTCTTGCGTTCTGTGGTTTCTTGTGTGCGGGAGTGCGCGCGCGCGTGGCCGAACGGATATCTTGATCGGATTGTTCGAGAGAACTTCCGAAAGATGCTTCGCGCACGTTTATGAGGACAGTTCGTCAGAAGTTGAAGAATCTCGATGAGAAGCGATGGAGGCCGCAGAAGTCGAAGACGATTGTACCCTTCCTTTGGCTTTAGAAGATGATCTCGTCGAAGACGATCCCATCGTGAAAGAGGTTAGTGTTCCAGTTCCGATCTCGATCTTGCCACCCCATCTCGCACTCGTCAAAATTGTTTCACGTCAAAGCTGTTGTTCAGGTTAGATCTCGCCACTTTGGAACACGTGGTTTAAAAGAAATTCACCGTTGACAGGTGATTAGTGGAACTGCCCTGTTTTTCCCGAACTCGCGTATCCGTGCGTTTCAGAACGAAAAGGTCTGGAGCCGCTCAAAATTATTTCTCTCTTTATATTTCTTTATATGTTCATATGCAATTCTATTCGGACGTGACAACTCGTTTTGTCCTTCGCGCGATAAAAATGATCTACAGGGCCCGATCATGAATGTTTTCCTCAAGCGTGAACTCGTGAAAAGTGAAAATTTTCATCAACAAATTTCTCAGTGAAATATTTCGTTTTACACGAATCCTTTTCTCTAGCGTAAACTCGTGACAAGCGAAAAATTTGATTAACAAATTCAACGTTTGTCAATAGAAATTTGTACTTTTCACGAGTTCACGATTGAGGAAAAGATTCATCTGTAGTGGCTGCCGCCACGCTGCCTAAAGGCTTCGAAGCATTTCTTCTCTCCTTTTATCTTTACTGAAAGAAAGGACTGAAAGAAAGGAAAAGAGGAATACTTGGAAGCATTTGTAGCGGCAGTTTGACCACAGCCTGAGGGTGCTTTCACATGGAGCGTAAGTTGCGTAGCGTAACCTGCGTATCGCCAATCACAGGACTAGTTCAACGGAATTATTGAAACGGTTCTATCAGCATGATCCTGTGATTGGTGCGCAGGTTACGCTACGCAATTTACGCTCCATGTGAAAGCACCCTCAGTCCCTGCCACTGAAATATATACTAACTGGAATGCGCGCTAGAGCCGAGTCGTGCGTCCAGAGAGAGAGCATTGTAAAGTGGCGTCTGTCATTGTCTGGTTTATAGGGTGGTCGAGAGTGGGAACTGTGCCTTTCCGTACCCACTCTCGACCACCCTATAAACCAGACAATGACAGACGCCACTCGACGATGCTCTCTCTCTGAACGCACGACTCGGCTCTAGCGCGCGTCCCAGTTAGTATATATAATATTTCAGTGGTCTCTGCTCTAGAGTTTGGGTCTGTTCTTTGCAGCTGAACTGGCTAGTTCAGAGTTTATCTTTCTCCTTCTAATGTAGAGGAAAGAAGATAAATACTGGACTAGTGCGGCCAGTTATAAGGAACAGACTCCTGTATTTTTATTTTCTGCCTGTGCGAATTAGAGCAATTGTTCGTGTGTACAGATACCAGTGTACCTTTCCAAGACTTTGGCGGAAAACTTGTACATCGTTCAGTATCCCGCATATATGAAGAATGGCTGCACCAACGCCACCTTCTCCAAGACCTTCGTCAAGCCTGAAAATCAGAAGATTCGCGCAGAACTGGCAATAGATACGACGAATAAGCAATCCTACGATGACAGTATGGGAAAGCAGTTCGCTGTCAACACAGACGAGAGGTCTACGGAGAACGACGGCGAGAAAACATTTGATAGGTATTTACTGAAATTTGCGTAGCTTAAGAAGGAGCACAAATTCACAGTTAGGCAAAGAATCTCTTTCAGCGGCTTGATGGACAAAATTGTGTTGACCTCGGAACGGACGTTGTCGCATTGCTCCAATTTCGCAGCCGGGATCTTTCAGGACGGCGAGCTGCATCTCACACCGTTGAAGGCGATGCTGCATATGAAGCTGCAGTGCGATTATCTGGACGAGAACGAGAAGCACGTCAGGGACGGGACGAAGGGCGCGGGAGAAGGTAAAGTAGAATCTCTCTTTGCTGATTTTTCCACGAATGCCATTTACCTAGACAGCCTGTGTTGAACCTCTAGAGCTTGGCACAAGCGAACGAGAAACATTCACAAATTCATTTGCTAAAATGCAGACGACAATGAGGAGGAGGATAAGGCCACGTCGGTGAAGGTAAAATTCGCTAGGCATCTGTCGGACAACCTGAAGAAGCTGCAGGAACAGTCCTTCCAACATCACTACAAAAAAAGCCAGGAGGAGAGTTGGATACTTACGAATTACACGCCGGTTTACGACACGCAGGCCGAGGTAGGTGTCGTTGATGTAATCGCCAGGGGTGATCAAATTCTTTCGGCAAAAAAAAACATAATTGATCTGTAAAATATAATTCATCTGTTTGACGTTACTGTGACCAAGTTCCAGCGAAAAGTCTCACCTTTATTTTTACATTTTATGATATAAGATATTAATATACTATGTCGTATTTTGCAGTCGACGCGGATGGAGATGTTCTGCCCAACCGAAGACTCGATAAACTCCCTCAATTTGGCCAAGGAGAATTATCTGGATCAATTGGTACCTCAGTTACCTGAAAAGTGCTACTCTGAATCCACCATCGTGAATCAGACGGATCTTCACTACGTCAGGACCTTGACTTTGCAGGAGCAAATCAAAAGAATTATGAAGCAAGGTGAAGAAGGCGTTGAAAATCATGTTTGAAGAGAGAAACGTTAAACTTTCTTTTAAAACATTTTTGCACGTTATTATTTCAGTGATATTTAAGCCTAAACTACAATATATTTATTTTACTTCAGCTTACAGCCAAGAAGTGGACTTGGTTTACAATAGTACTTGACTCATTCATCACTCCTGCATACTTATTCTATTCCTCTTTCTTCCTTACGCATCGTGACTAGTTTATATTGCTTATTTATTATTTACATTTTTTTCCTCCCTCCTGTACTCTCTCCTCTTTTTCTTTTTTTAAAATTCGCAATCTGCATTCTCTTTCTATCCAAAGCTTCCTAATAGTTTTTCCTTATCTTTTTCCTTATCTAATTCGTCGCTCCATATCTTATCCCTTATTTCTTTATTGGTTTTCCCTAATTTCTTAAACCAGTGTGATGTCATACTGCATTCCTTTATAATACTTTATATAATATTCAAGACTATCCCATCCCGTATTACAAAAAACACAAGTTCTTTCTTTTTCTTCTAGCCAGTATTTGTTGTATCTTTCTAGGTTACCGCATCTCAGATTCATTAGCGCTCTGACCTTATCGCCTTCCGCATTCCTGTCTTCTAAGTATCTAGGCCTATTTCCATTTCTGTCTAACTCTTTATACCTTTTATTATATCTCGATTCTGTTATCATATTTTCCTCTTGTTGTCTTTGTACCTCTCTATCTCTCCCTATAATCTCCTGTATCCAGTTCTCTTTTTCTCTTTTTAAACCTTCTAATGCTCCTAATCCCCCTCCATTCCTATTGTAATATTTTTCATCATTTAAGACAAAAAAATATTTTTGATTTTTTGAAAATTTCACTCTGGTGTAACCCCTTAACATAATCGTTAATTGCCGAATAACTTAAACGGATTTTTATGTTATGCATAAGGCATTTAATAGAAGCAAATCTCTTTTATCTTTTCACAGTGAAAGTCGTATCCTTCAAAAGGCTGTGCGAAATCTTACCGCCAAAACAGGACACACAACTAATACTCAAGTATTTGCAGCAAGTGGCTATGCTGGTGCAGGGTAACTGGGTTGTGAACAGCGAATTGATATACACCAAAGAGAATAAAGAGGATAAGTTCCCCGAGATTATGTGTAATGCTCGTGATACTATTGTGAGTGTTTAAAATTTAATAGTAAAAGTTTCACGAGAAATTTAGTTTTACTTTTCAACTTCTCAATTCACGTGTGTGAAGAAAAGGTTGTGTATAAAACATGTTTTTTTTTTAGTTATTATCGTTTACCAAGCATCTATTTCTCAAACGCAATATGATTTCGTCCGTCGTCAAATTGTCGCCGGAAGAGATTAGTGAAATTTTCGAGGATCTTGGAACAACCGTATCGAAGAAGGGTTGGCAGCTGAAAGAACCACCCGACTGGGACTTCTGTAACAAGTACTAGTTTTGTTTTAAAACTTTCAATTTGTTTTTTTTTTTTTATGTTTCTCGACTAGTATCTTGCAATTCCATCTGCTCCAAGTGATTTCAAGTAATTTTATCTGATTTCATATATAGTTTCATGTCTTATTAAATCCTCTGCTAAGATTTACGTTAGAAATTTTAGCAAATATAGAGATGTAGATACATCCACTTCTCTATGTGGTGATCGAACGAAAAACCAACAATGTTTTGTTTGGTTTTGAACCCAGGTCTTCGGATTACCAGACCAGCGCACAATCCTCTGCGCCACGATCGCCACTAGAAATTTTAGCATTAATCGTCCTTTGTCCTAGATTTACCGATATCGTCCAGCGGCAAGAAAGATTTTGGGAAGCAAAGAGAAAACATCGCGAAACGATGGAGGCGCAGAATCAGCCACCGCAGCGCCAGCGCCGAAAGTCAAACCGGGAGTCGTTGGGCTCGGAAAACGAGGAGAGAAACGTCGGCCGTGGCCGAAAGTCAGTCAAGGAGCCATCGCTGTCGGATAACGATGGTGCGATGACTGAGCCGGCTAAGCACAAAAAAAGTCGTTCCAGAAAAATATCGGAGACCACCACGTGACCAAAAGCGATACAGCGAGATAGTTTAAAGTTTCCTTTTTCGCCCATCTTACCAATCGTCACGTTAGATCGAATTATGAATCATGACATTTTTTCGCAGTACGATCAGCCTATATCGCAAGCCGACTTTTCCAGAGATATATTTAAAGCACGTGTCCACAAACATTAATTCCTGATTAATGCATAAGTGTGGTATATTACTGACATATACGTATTGCGCTATGCATGTATTGCACGTATACGCGTACGCGCATTTGCGTGTGCATGCGTGCGTATATTTGTAATATATTACACACACACAAATTTAGGAGATAATTAAGATGTAACATACTATATTCGTACGTATAATGTTTCCCTTAATTACGGTCTAGACATTCTGTAGATTCTGACCAGAAATTAGCAAGGATTTTAGTACACATATACATACATTAGAGATAATTAAATTGAAGTAATATAATTGAACTTGGTATAGAGACAAACGCATACTTTGAGTATGACTGAGCAGCTTTGCCAGCGACATACTTTTCGTTCTTGCATTGTCACGCGTACACGCTCGCACACACATGTACAAGTTTTATGTATATATAAAATCTAAAAAAAAACTTACACATGCATATAAAGTTCTATAGAAATGTATTGTAATAATGTTCCTGAATGTACTATTTCGTAAACGCTTGTTGATTATGGATATTAATTGTTAGCGTAAATATATTCGTGATATCATTTCGTGTTTTATCCTTAAGTATACTTTGTATATCTTTGTTTAGGAGAAATAAATTTGAGTCTTTTAAGAAAAACTGATTAAACAATTAACAGATCGAGTTATAGTAATTTAACATATTGTTACAATTATTTATTATAAGAAAAAGTAAGATTAGAAATCTTCGCTCCAGTCCAAAACTAGTAGCGACGCGCAGTGACGATGGCGCGAACGAAAGCCCATCTTTTATTAACGGAGTCGTCCCTACCATTAAAAATTCGACGTTGCTGCCGGACCTGTGCTCTGTCATCCTCGGTCCCCTGATTTTAGTCGCGGGGCGCATCCAGGTATACAAGGTCTATGACCAGAAGTACCTGCTCTCGATGCTCTCTCTGCGATACCTGGCAACTTCGTGATGCCCTATTCGCATTCCATTCGCGAGGACCACGAGTCGTGATATGGCCAAGTCGCTGCTCGTGGTGCTGTCAGTTATCGCGATAACGATGTATAATCGCGTGCGCACGTAATTGAGCGTTCCGACCGTGACGACGACGACGACGACGATAACAACGAGAATAGAGGTGCCGCGGAGGCACATGCGAAACAGCTGATTAGCGGAGATACACCGCCGAGTTCGGGTCACGGTCGTTTGTACTCTGTAGTCGCAGAGAGAGAGCGGATCAGCGGTCATGGCGGGTTTCGTGCTCCGGGTGAAGACCAAGTCGGGCCAGAAGGTAGTCTATGGTCTCACGGCCCACGATAAGGTGTCGCAGCTGAAGGCGAAGCTCGCCGAGCTCACCAGCGTACCTGCCGCCGCGCTTCAGGTGCTCGTCGGCTTCCCGCCGAAGCCTGTCGACCTGGACGTGGCGGACGCCACAATCGAGCGCGCGGGCATTATCTCCGGAGACACCCTGATCGTTGAAGAGAAGCAGGTGTGTCTCGCTAGCTCCCCCGAGAGTGCAGGAAATTGTATAGAGAGTATAAATAACACCGATTCCTTTCTCGAGTATCTACATGTCTAGCGCTAAGTAAGATGCACAGAATATTATGTAATTCGCGATCACATTGACCCGTCACTCATAAGCATTTTCTACCAAACGTGAAATAGAGACATCGGTCAGAGGAGAAAATACACCACTCTCGGTTGCGTAAAGTGAAATGGAGTAGTCGTCGCATTGGGAGTGTCACGTGGTTGTCGGTGCGCGCGAGTCTGTTTAATGTAGTAGTTGCATCAGTGAATATTTCCATTCTGATTTGAGTCGCCTTCAGCAGCGAGAATTAATCTCTGGGCCTGGCGGCGGTGGCTCCTCGATGCTTAGGTCGGTATTCATAGTCGGATCTTGTATTCAACACCGTCCTAAGATCATCTCCCAGACGCTCCGTACAACATATTTAGGTAAATTCAAGACGGTCTTGAGTATAACGTCTGATTGGATACAAGTCGACAATTTTTACTTCACAACAACTTAATTAGATCATGGCTGTAGTCTGTTAAGTCGACCAGGTGGTCCAATATCGAAACATTAAAGTGAAAAATCTCACGTATTCAAATACCAACGTCAGACTCGGAAATTAATTCTTAAAGTTGGTGGCAAAGCTGACTCAAATCGGAGACAAAATGTACCATATTCATCTATCAAGATGTGATGTAATTATTATAATTATTGTATTAAATGGACTTGCGCACCGACAACCACATAATACTCTCATTGCCCGAGCGCTCCTTTTCGTTTTACATTGATCAAAGCTGGAATCTGTAGATAAAAGTCATAAACTAGAGGTGTTCGTTTCATTGATTCCTCTTTCTGTTTAATTTTCCTATTTTCTTGAACATGTAACAAATAATTTAATTTTCGTCACTTTAAAAGTGCGACTTTAGTTATCTGTTTATTTCGAAACTCATTCAATGTTAAAAGTCAAGAAGTGAGTTTTTTTATATGAATATCACGTGCAGATCGTGTTCAATAGACATGAGCAGAAACTGGACAATCTCGGACGAACCCATATCATCGACCAGGAGAACTTTGCCAATGTGCCAGGTGTCCTTATGAGGAAGGTTGTACCTGCGGATAATTCCTGTCTTTTCACTAGCGTGGGTTACGTCCTGAATGGTAAGCAAACGCCAGATAAAAGCGTTGGAATATCATGCGATGCATCAGTGGCAAATGCATCAATATAATTTTCTTAAATCGTAAAAATTAAATATACAAAGGAGTGTTAAGTGAATATAATTTATACAATTGTAAAAGCGCATATCACTTCTTAAAATCAAATGATTTAAGCGCACAAGCATCCAAAAGTATCAAGACTGAATGAAAATTTCAAAACTCGTAGGAGGAAAAGCAAATATTAAATTCAGAAGTTGCGATATATAAGTTACGATGATTACTTAATTTATTTTCCCGTAGGAAAAGTCGATACTAGCTGCGCCAGTTTTATGAGGGAGATTATAGCAAACGCGGTAGCGGCAGATCCGAATGAATACTGCGAGGCATTTCTGGGTAGACCTAATGCCGAGTACTGCGAGTGGATTCTCCAGTCTGATGCTTGGGGTGGCGCGATTGAGCTGTCGATACTGTCCAAGTTTTATGGTTTGGAGATTGCGGTGATCGACAGTATTAACGCGATCGTCAATAGGTTCGGCGAAGATCAGCATTACTCTCAACGGGTCTTTCTTATATTCGATGGAATCCATTATGACCCTCTCTACCTAGAGCCGCTCGATGTAAGTCTCTTGTGTCAATACTTAAAACTCCTCGACACTCGCCGAGGCCACGTTGGAATTGTGAGACGAGAAATGACACGCCGAGAATTCTTGCGTGCCCCTTTTCAAATAAAAAGATATCTGAATAAAAAAACATTTTATATTGCTTTAACGCACCTATAAGCTAATCTGAAAACTATCCTTTTCCTTTGACAGTTAATAAACAGTCTAAACTAGAATTCTCGGCCCAGAAACCAGGAACCTTAGATAACTTTATCTCAATTCCATCGTACACTTTTAAATTATGTCAAAGTTAAAAAGAATTAAATAGCTTTTTTCTGGTCTTCAAACACTTATCTAGAAAGATAAATAACAATTTCTATGTCTTTTAATACAATTTTATTAGTATCTTTTTGTGTGTGTAAATTTAATAACTTTGATTTTAATGCATTTTCTTTCAGGGTGGTAGTATCCAAACGATGTTTCCCACCGAGGACGAGAGAGTGCTCCTAGAAGCGGCCCAACTTGCAAAAGAAGCTAGATCGAGTCGCCAGTTCACAGACGTGCAAAAATTTACACTGATGTGCACCGATTGCAAAGTCATGTTAAACGGACAAGCGGCAGCGCAGCAGCACGCCAAGGACACCGGCCATAAGAATTTCGGCGAAGTATCAGCGTAGCCCTGTATCAGCATCTCAAAACTAACTAACTGCCATCTAACTCTCTGGTGACTATCCTTAACTTCAAACAGTATAGAGTGACTTGACAGTTATTTTTTATATCGGAACGTACGGGGATCTTTCGGTTTATCCTATTTACTCTCAACGTACGCTATTAACATAAATCAGGTGTTTATTATTGCAAATCATTTGTACTATAGAATGCAATCGACGGGAAATTTTGTGCTGGCACAGGAGTGTATATGATATTTTTAGAAATTATACTCATAAATTTTATAAATTATATTCACAAATATGTATTATATATTCTAGGCAATTATATTTTAAGTTATTTTTTTTATTAATATTCTGAATTACGTTTTTACACAATTGTTATATTTATTATATTAGGACAAAATTGTACCTCCTAGGAATAATTCGTACTGTTTAGAAATGAAGGATTGCCATTTAACAACTAAAAGAGAAGAGCTATTATCTTTTTCTACTCGAGCGAAGTAATATTATCATTAATGCAAATTCGTTTGCTGTTAAGGATTGTTAATGCGCATAATACACAAGTTACTGATTTTGATTAAACATCATTGTCTGTGATCTCAGATCGCTTGCCTCAACAAAACATGCATCTCCCTGAATCTTCACGTTTTATTGAAAAACCGAGAATCTGCGATATCGTTAGTTTCACATTTCAAGTGACGCGAGACAACGCAAGATTCGTAGTCTGAATGCCATGATGATGTAAGGTCGCGTTCCATCTTTCTGGTAAAGCTTGATTGGTGGCTGTAACTTTACGAAAACAGGAGACCGATCTCCATACTGGAAAACTGGAGAGTGAAATTAAAATCAAGACATCTATTTGATGTATAAATACACTGTACTGATGTACAGTAAGAACTTTGCTTTGATTCAGCGCGGATTTACTTGCGCATCAATCCCGTTCGAAGTGAAGAGCCCATATTATCGCCGTTACTGTTCACGCGATAGAGAAACGTAATCAAAACTCAATGAGCATTATCATGTGGCATTCGTATTTTGTGTTAGAATTTTGTTGTGATTGCTTCTGCTTTCTTTAAAAAAATATCTGCTAAGAGTGGAGAAAAGTCCTCTATTATGAGATAGGAGCCTAATATGAGACAGTAGGTTTTCAAATTCAACCACAAATCTTTTTTTCGCAACGATTACACGATCTAACAATCAGTTTTCCACAAAACAGATTTTACTCCAAGGGCAGTAAATTCATGGTGGAACTAACCCAGCAAACAGAGCAGTGCAACAACGTTGCGGCAATGTTATAATATTGCTGTAACGTTGCTGTGACGTTGCTACAATATTGCGCCATATTCTATGTTTGCTGGGAACAGATGATGCCTATTAATTTAGAAACTCCGCTATCGCATGTTAGAAGTCTATCTCATATTAGGAAACTTTCCTCTACCCATGGCATCATTAATGCCTAGCCACGGTCTACCATACGGATCTGGAAACGACGATGGTGGGTCTTGTCTCTCTTAACATTCTTGTTTTTACTTCGATTCTTATAGCGTTTTCGATTTGCTGACTCGACCCGACTCAGAGTCAGAAAAGTTTGATCAAAAGTAAGATTTTTGCAGAAATTGTGGTTCAAACCTTGCTTTTGATCAAACTTTTCTGACTCGGGGTCGGGTCGAGTCAGAAAATCGAAAACGCTATTAGCCTATGGCAGACGGTTGGAGAGCATGCGACGCGAATAGACTTCTAGTTCCGATCAAAATGTGTAGCCAACCAACTTGCATCTTTCACAGAAAAGCTGCAAGTTGATTGGTTACACATTTCTCAAAACCAGAACTTGGACACAGCTTTTGGAAATTGTGGACACAAGGGCTGCTTTAGCGAGAAAATTAAAATAATTCAGATTAAAATGGCCTTGTGCTATAATTAGTCAAATCTAAAATTTCATAGCATCACATTGAAATTTTATTCAATAAAATTCTAGATTTGACCAATCATAGCACAAAGCAGCACAAAGTCATTTTAAGCCAACGGCACACGGTACTATTTTTTCCTGCTGGATTGCTTATGAGAGCCAATCAGAATGTAGAGTTTTTGATCAGGTGACTTAAGTCAACGGCACACGATACTATTTTTCCTACTGGATTGCTTACGAGAGCCAATCAGGACGCAGGGTTTGAGATCAGGTGACTTAGGGCTAAATCCTGATTGGCTCTCGTAAGCAATCCAGTAGGAAATATCGTATCGTGTACCGTTGGCTTTAAAGCTGAACCCTGATTGGCTCTCGTAAGCAATCCAGTAGGAAAAATAGTAATCGCGTTGGCTTTAATCTGGATCATTTTGGTTTTCTCGCGAAAGCAGCCCGGGGGTTTGTTCATTTTAGTTTAAACTGACTGCAAACTAGTTCGGAGTTTATCTTTTAGCTTTAGTTAAACTCTAAACTAGCGTAGTCAAGCCTATCACACAATGCCAGGCAACAGACAATAGAAATGGGGAATACAATTTTTGACGCGTTGGATTCGTCGGAAATTTTCTTCCAACCAATTCAACGCGTCAGAAATTCTATTCCCCGTCCCCGTTGCCAGGCATTGTGTGATAGGCCTCAGTTCAGCTAAAAAGAACAGACCCAAGGCTTTACAGGAACTCTAAAGTCACTAGATATATCTAGTGACTTTACAGGAACTCTAGTCGAGCCCCTCGATCGCAGCGCCCCCAAGCGGAGCGCGAGCGCGGAACGTAATTTAGTGATTCTCGTCGAAGGTTAGCCGAGCTTCTCAGATGGCTTGATAATCAGTTTGTTAGCAGTCGTGGCGGTCGTTGGTTCGTTGGTCGATGAATCGTCCGTCATGCCCGTCACCGTGCGAATACATTAACTTTGTCGTTGCGTACACGCGCGCACACTCGCGCACGCTCGCGCGCACGTCCGCGTCGCAGTGAGCGAGCGAGCCCGAGTTTCCTCCTCGACGCATCCTGTGCCTGTCGCGTGCCGTCCGCCAGGGTAAGCGCCGTCGCGGGGAGTCGTGCGATACGGTAAAATGCTGGCCAACCGAGATCATTCACCGACAATCAGATGAAGATGGAAGATGACGCTGATCTCAGGGAACAATTGTTTCACAACACCGTGCGCGAGAACATAGTGAGTAAACGCCGCGAGTGGTGTCGCCCGGGCGTGAAGATGCCCATCCTCGCCGATGCCGCGCGACCAGGTCTCGTCGTGCGCCCGAAAACCGCGCGCGCGCGACCCGAGCGTGCAGCCTTGCGCGTTTCGGAAATCCCGCGGGGATTCACGCCTCTTCCACCGGGCGAGTCCCGCCGCGAGAGTGTGTCGTCTCGTGATTGATTCCCTCGGAATCTCCGCGCTGCAGGCATCGCCTTCAGTTCGGCGAAACGAGCCCGCGAGCAGAACTGGAGCAAGTTCGTCGAGCGAGGGCCCCCGCGGTCGTATCGCTCGACTAATTATGAAAACGTGCCTTATCGGGCGCGACGTGCGATAACGTGCCCGTCAGAGGCTCCGACACAGTCCCGTCCGCCGCTGGCTTGTGACGTGGACCGCGACGACTATTTGTTTGTTTATCTCGACGGGACGAACGCCCCGTTCGTCCTCGATCGATTTGACTGATATCGCGCCGGTGCTCGCGAGATTTAAACTGCGGAAGCGTCGCGTGTTTATGAACGCGAGGGGATGGCGCGCGCTCCCCTTCGAATCAATTTGCTTGGGGGGGAAAAAAAAGTGATATCGCCAAGGCGAGAAAGATGACGTTACCTTCTTTCGCGCGAAACGCTTTCACGTCTGCCTCTTTCATTCTGGACGAATAAGGTGCGCGCTCATTAATTTTCCTCGTCGGGAATCGCAATCAATCAAACCTCATTGCAAGACGCGGGTCAAAATATATTCCGAGCGAATCGCCGGTGTTTGTTGGCAAGTAATAACGTTAACGTTTCCAAATTAATTTACAGGAACGCGTCTCGGCAATACAGTGTGCCTTTACGGTAGGAAATTGATAGTCGAGCGGACGGAAATCGGGGGGGAAAAAACCATTGTAAGATGGTCACACGAATTACAGTACTGGGCGTTAATTGATTTCTCTATTAAAATATGAAAAAAATCTTCAGCCACGCAGTGCGATCTGATTTGCAATTCAAACTCAACGCGCACTCGCACCTTTCGTACCTTTGCCCTACGCGCAACTAACTGCACCTGACAATTCTATTTCTCGTGTCACGTTCGCCTACTTATCCTAACATCATCACTCTTTCTCTCTCTCTCTCTTCCGCCTCTTAATAAAAATTGCCATAGGTCTTTCTTCCTCTCGTCCTTCCCGTTTCTTCGTCCTTTTCCTCGGGTGTTCCAATTTCCCTTGCATTCGTTTTCAGTTTCGACCGCGCCAATGTCGCGCGCGAATTCCCGATAGATTCAACAGGAAAATTTGTCTTCGAATTCACGGCGAAATCGCGTGGATGATAATCCGAATCACTGTAGCTCCGGGACACCTCGTATTGAGATAAATCTTCTGGCCTCTCGCCGAGAGCTTTTTGTTTGCCTCGTCCTCCTTCCCCTCCTCCGCCCCGTCGCCTCCGCCCGTAAACTCGAAAAGTAGCGGGAACGCGCGAACGCAGGAATTTCAATTGGATGACGTCTCGCGCGAGGTACATTCACCCTGCGCCTCACAAATCGCTGTCGCGCTCGACACGCGCGGAGGAAGCGGGCCTGGTCGCCCGGCGAATAGACGACGTACTCGTTTTGCGAGGATGCCAAGAAAACCGGTCGCTTCGCCGGGAATTACTGAACGAGGTCTCGAGGGAACCGAATTTGTATTCGCGAGACTGGAGATCTAGTTAAAAAGAAACGTCACAGGGGAGCGCAAGGTTGCTCTAGAAAGCGGTAAAAAGTAATAAGACGAAAGTTTCGAAGCAAGGAGAGATGTATAAGGAAGCGTCGATTGTAAGAAGGGAGTTTACTATTTGTCTATTTCTAACAATCCGCTTGCCTTCGGCTTACAATTTCATCTTTGTCTCTTACAAGATTTTCAACGCTTTTGACACGCAAATGCAGACACGTCTTCTTGGAGTTGTCATGTGTATGCAAATGTTTGTAAAAATTGGGGTGCTATTGCAACAGCATATTCTTGACACCAAATCAAGTCAAAAAGTATCCTATATCATTTCTCCTCGCGATAAACGGTTATCGAGATATCGTATGATGAATATTGAAGAAGTTGCCAAGTTTTCTTTGAGTATCTAAAAAATTATTAAACAAATAAAAAAATGTTTCAGACAAAAGTCGTTTCAATTAATTAATAGAAAAATGTGATATAATAAGGAATTGAGGTTTCCGTTTAAAAAAATCAAGATGACCTTCGTGTAATCTTCAAACGACTATCCAAGGTCAAACCAATGATACCATCTTATGTCCCCCTTGAAACCATACAACTTTTGTCTCAAACATTTCTTTCTAAAATGCATAGTTTTCGATAACTTCAGGGGTTTCCATACTTTTTTTTCTCATCATGTATAAATAATTATAGAAAATGCGCCTCTCTCTCAAAATCTTTCTTCTTTTCTACTGAATATAGGAAAAGTAACGTTGGAAGAAGATTAGAAAAATATCAGACGATATAATAATTGGGAAAATAGTTGGAAAAGACAGATTTACAATCGTAGCGGTTGTTTCAGCTGCACTTACTTATTGGATCGTGTGAAAAAGAGAGAGGGACGGACAGAAATAAAGAGTTTTAGTTGGAATTAGATAAATACATGTTTAATGGCTTTTCGGTAACATATATTCATCGACTTTTACCTCTCTGGAAAGTACCGTGAAAGCACGTTCCACTTCTTCCTTGCATGCCAACTCGCCAAGTGAAGATATGCTCCGTTTTTCCGTGTTTAATCAGTCCGGAAGCAGTTGTCACGTCCAGAGGCGAGAAAGAAGATTACGAAACACAGGCGATAAGGTCGCGAAGTGACTGATTGCGACCGATTTGCGCGCGAATAAGACAAAACGTCCGTGAGTTGGAATTTCAAAGAGCGACTCGCTATGCTGCAATCAAAGATGGAAACAAAGAGGGGATATTAGTATATCGAGATTCCTGCGCGAATTTTCCCAAGAAGATTTAGAAAATTTTATCTCTTTCTATATCCTCGTCTATTGGTCTCATTAGTTTATCGTGAAACTCAGGGTTGGGTAGGTTATCTTTTTTTTTAACCAATCAACTAATGCGAATATTTTTAAAATGACAAACTCCATAATTTTGCTCGCCAGTAATAAAATAACCAAAACGTCAATTTTCCCTCGACGCAACTGGCATTATTTTATTAATCTTAAATAATATAGTATATTATTAAAATTGCCGGATACGGTCAATAAAAATTACTCATGTTGTTTTTTAACTAAGTTAAATTAAAGTTAACAGCTTTGAAAGTTTAACTTACAATTAGTTAAGATACAAGTTAACCCACAGTGAAATAATTGAATTAAAAGTTAAGTTAATAATAAAAAGAAATTAAAAAGTTACATTTGTTTGTATTTGCACAAAATCTTAGAGACTCGCGATCACGTAAATTGCTTTCACGACCAGCGTTTAGACAACCACACTACACGGAATACGGTCCGTGTCATATGTAAACAAATTCACGTGAGTCCGATCAAAGTCCTGTATAAAAGCTGTGTTCCAAAATTCGCTGCCAGCGTTGAAGATCTATAGTGCATGTAACGTATACTATAAATTGTTAGTGCTGGGAGTAAATTTTGGAACACAGGAACTGCCAACATAAACGGCGTCTCGCGACGCCTTTATTTATGGTACGGCTAATTTTAATAAAGGTAAATTAAAAGTTAAAAGTTACCGATAAAATCTAACTAAATTAAGTTACAAGTTAACAGTTTACACTGTAACTCAGTTAAGTTAAAATTATTTAACGTTTTAACTTAACTTTTATCTTTTTAACTAGACACTACCCAACCCTGGTGAAGCCTAATTTCTTTCAAGTTGATATAAATTGGACTCGAACATTAGGATGCAGCGTACATTGTTCTCGTGGAACATCGATCTTGCCTCGCCTTCATTCGTCCTATTCTCGGCAAGAGGCCGTTGCCAGCAATGGTGCCGAAAATGTTACGCACGTGGCTGTCCATCCGTAATTATACACGCTCCGTTATTGCACTCCCCGGGCGAATTAATATCGTTGATTATGTACGTACATAAATAAACATAACGGACACACGGCGCCAGGGGAAGCGCGCGTTATAGCAGGTTGAACAAATACGAAACAAAGAGACTAAGGGCGATATATCGATCAGAAAGGATGAATAAATGAAACCGAAGTGTACGAACAATACGAGGATTGTCATCGTCGAGCAATTCGATCCGTTGCTTTCTAAGCATAGAAAGCCTTGGAACTTTTTGTCACGTGAATCTATAAGACTTGTAAAATTTACTTGGTAGGCAGTTATTAGGAATCAATAATTATTACTAACTATAAGTACACAGTTGGAAAATTTGTGTATTCTTGTTAAAGAAAATGCCGGTTAAAATTTTTACAATGCCTAGTAATGTCCAGTAATGTCTCAGTGGTTTCCCCCTCGCCATAAACTTTACGCAACTTTTCACAAGCCTGCACGGCGTTCTTTCCTTTTTGGAAGTAACAGTAAAACGTGGCGAGAGAACAACGTATTTGTAAATTTAAGATAAATGGCTAAGAATTTTTCCTTTCGTACCTTGTGTTGCTGCGGATGGCCAAGTTAGATTAAAACTTACAATTTTACTATTGTTTCATACATAAACTTGAATTGTTGGCGAACCTAAATATCTTTTACTAGCTTGTAAGTTGGCCTTTTATTTACTTATATAAATCTCGCTGTCGCATATAACGAACGCTTTTCTTCTTGTAAAAAAAAAAGAGACCGTTTATCGCTATACAATCCGTTATAAAACACGCGATCGCGATGTGACAGTGTTAGAAAGTTAATGTCTGTTTCAGGAATTAATGTTGCACTTGATTCCGGGAATAATTTTGTAAAAACGTCTGTATTTACTGAACAATATTTGCAAAATACTCGTCAGGCACAAAACGACAAGGGTAGTTCAAAGTTTTAAAGCCTTAAAGCCTTCAGTCGCATCGTACGGCTTCGTTTACCGACGCACTTTCCGTATTTTCCGATGTTGGAGGTATTCAGTTAATCACCGTGAATGGCCGTGAATGGTGCTCAGCGTGATTTACGTAATACGTGACGGTGTCTCGACAATCGTTGTGCGTTCGATTATTGATGAATCAGAGTTCTGGTATTTGAAAAAATTCTTTTCCACATCTTCAGCTTATTTCTTCACTCT